GCTCCTTGCTATTGCAACCTGATACCAGAGGGAATTTGACAAAGAGGGTGAGGTCCCTCAGGGGCTGGATGTCCTGTCCAATGCCAAAATTCTTAGGCTTTTTCTCAAACAAAGCATTCGCCACTTTTTTGGCTTCCTGCTTCTTCACGACAGCAGAGTCGGGGGCCTCCTTCTTTCCCTTAGCCTTTTTTCCTATTGGCATCTAGGGTGGCTAGAGGAGAACAGGTTTGCTTTTAAACTAGCTTTCTGAACAGTGAATAATACTGAGGTGCCCTAGTTCTGTTCTGCATTTCATATTTCATAAAAACTAACACAGTCTTGGCCAGCTACATGAAAGCCGCTTTATAGCATTTCTTAGTTGAACAGAAATACAGTCCTTTTGCATCCTGACTCTGTTTTGGGGACTAACTTTATGTGACAGTGATCCTTATTCAGATCTGGAGTGGATCCCCTTTGCTGACCTGTATACCTCTACCATCATCAGTCTTGGATATGGGCTAAAATCTGTTTTTACTAAACAGGAGAAAATTCTGCTCTGAAAATCCAGCCACAACATGGTATGGAGGTAAAGAACACAGTCTTGGGCTCAAACCTTATTTCATTTCTGTCATCTACTAGCAGTGTGACCTTGGGCACATCATTAAGCCTAACTGTACCTCTGTTTCTTCACCTTTAAGAAGTGGGTAATAATAGTATCCACTTTATAGAGTTATTGCCAGGAGCAAGTGAATGGATAATTATGCCAATCACAACAGTGCCAGGTGCATAGTGCTACATGTCAGTTATTATTCAGTGACTTCCCTGCTCTCCATGCCAACAAACTTCTTAATTCCAAAATGACCCTGCCATTCATTAATTTACCGTAGTTTTCAAAAATACACTTCTGCACAAACATTTTTTTAAATTATTATTATATTTATGTTTTTTAAGATGGGGTTTCACCATGTTGGTCAGGCTGGTCTTGAACTCCCTCAGGTGATCCACCCGCCTTGGCCTCCAAAGGGCTTGGATTACAGGTGTGAGCCACCACGACCGGCCACAAACATGTTTAAATAAACTTTTTATTTTATTTTAGAACAGTTTTAGACTTACAAAATTTATTAGGAAGACAGTACAGAGAATTACGGTATACCTCACACCGAAATCTTCCCTTAATAACACGTTGGTTATTATTCAGTAGGTTAGGGTGGGACTCACACAGGTGTGTCTTTACTAAGCATCTTAGCCAGGTTTGGCAGTTACTGAACAGGCATGAAATCAGTTGAGGATGGGAGGAGCTTCAGAGAGTCGTCCTGTCTGATTCTCAGGTTTCTGTTTTATATCTCCAATGTGGTTTAACCTTCTTCTCTGCTAAAGACTTAATGTGGAGGTTTTTCTTCTGATTATCCACTTGACAAAATTTTAGCACTTTATAAGCTGCCTCCTTGCAAATAAATAAGCCGTGTTTATTGTAACACTCTGACTTCTGTTACAACAGACCACATCTGTGTCAACAAAATCTTTTAAGTCCTTTGAACCACCGGATTGGATGTGTGGTTCACCATTATATTTCTACAGCCACACATGTGTTTTACTATCTCCATTTTTTAAAGCCCCCCCAGATGATTCCAGTGTGCAGACAAGGTTAAGAACAACGGTTCAAAGACAGTTTCTATTTCATGGGATTTTGAGAATCTGACAAGAACAGAAGACCCAAACTGTCCTCATTCCTCCCATTTAAATTCTCCTTTCTTCTGTTGTTATTACTGCTTCCAATCCTATCAGCTCCAATTATCCTAACTTCCATCCCCTGCTTTCTCTCTCTCTCTCTCTTTTTTTTTTTTTTTTTTTTTTTTGAGACTGAGTCTCACTCTGTTACCTAGGCTGGAGTACAGTGGCATGAGTTTGGCTCACTGCAATCTCTGCCTCCTGGGTTCAAGCAATTCTTATGCCTCAGCCTTTCAAGTAGCTGGAATTAAGCATGCACCACCACACCTGGCTCATTTTTTGTATTTTTAGTAAAGCCAAGGTTTCACCATGTTAGTCAGGCTGTTCTTGAACTCCTGACCTCAAGTGATCTGCTCATCTCAACCTCCCAAACTGTGGGGATTACAGGCATGAGACAGTCAGGTCATCTGCAAATAAAAAGGCACCTGGCCTTTTTTTCTTACATAGACTTCCTGCTCAAATGTGTGGGCCTTGTGCCTCGGTAGGAAATATAATCAGTATTCAAAATTTATAGAGGGAAGATTTATTCATCAATGATAGAAAACTGTAAAATCCAGGAGCAGAAGCTTCTTTTTCTTCTACTCACTAACCCACTACTACCCTGTGTTCACTCTTTTGTAAAGCAGTAGATTGACACAGTGATAAACCTTAACTTAGATTCAAGCAGGTCGTTTGAAGGACTTGAAGGATTTTGTAGATGCAGGATAACACTTTGTTGTGGTTAGTGATTTGAAAAAGAGTTGAAATATACGAGTATCTCAGAGAGGTGAGATCTCTCATTCATTTCACTCAGTGATCCCAACAGACCTGCTGTGGAAAGCATGGCTCTACTCTTTGTAAACTTTGAAACATTGGAATACAGGTACAGACTTGTAATTATCAGTACCTAATAAAATATTTTATTAGAGAGGGACTTTACAAATACATTTTCAGTGAATAAATGAAATAAAATTCAGAAGTTAGGAATGTGCCTCCCCTGTTCTCCATGCAAACAAACATCTTAATTCCAAAATGACCCTGCCATTCATTAATTTACCTTAATAAAAAAATACACTTATTGTATAAACATGGTTAAATAAACTTTTAATTATAGAACAGCTTTAGACTTATAAAATTTATTAGGAAGACAGTACAGAGAATACCTCACGTCCAGTTCCCCCATTATTAACATCTTTAAATAATGAATGAACCAATATTGACACATTATTATTAACTGAAGTCCATACTTTATTCAGATTTACTCAGTTTTTCCTAATGGCCTTTTTCTGTTCCAGGATGCCACCCAGGATGCCATATTACATTCAATAGTCATATCTCCTTAGGCTCTTTGGCTATAAAATTTCTTAGACTTTCCTTGTTTTTGATGCCCTTGATAGTTTTGGGAATTACTTACTCATCAGGTATGTTGTAGACTATCCCTCAGTTAGGATTTATCTGACTTTTTTCTCATGGTTAAACTGGGGTTATAAATTTTGGGGAGGAATATTATAAAGGTAAAGTATCATTCTCCTCACATCCCATCAAGGGTACATGCTATCAACATTATATCCACTATTTTTTTTATTTTGAAACTTAAACCTCATTGTATTATTATAAGTAAGAAATTACCATTCAATGTATGCCAAAATATATCTTTGTTGACATGTAAGTTTGTTCCACTTTTCTTTTTTATTTTTCTTTTTCCAACTTTTATTTTACGTTCAGGGGGCACAAATGAAAGTTTTTTACAAGGATAAATTGTATGGGGTTGGGATAACTGCTAGCCATATGCCGAAGACTGACACTGGATCCCTTCCTTTTGCCATATATGAAAATCAACCGAACATGGATTAAAAAGTTAAATGTAGGCCAGGCGCGGTGGCTCATGCCTGTAATCCTAGCACTTTGGGAGGCCGAGGTGGGCGGATCACGAGGTCAAGACATCCAGACCATCCTGGCCAACATGGTGAAACCCCGACCCTACTAAAAAATACAAAAATGAGCTGGGCATAGTGGTGCGCACCTGTAGTCCCAGCTGCTTGGGAGGCTGAGGCAGGAGAATTGCTTGAACCCGGGAGGTGGAGGTTGCAGTGAGCCGAGATCACGCCACTGCACTCCAGCCTGGCGCCTGGAGACAGAGCAAGACTCTGTCTCAAAAAAAAAAAAAAAAGTTAAATGTAAAACCTAAAACTATAAAAACCCTAGAAAATATCACCATTGATGTTAACCTTGATGTCCTGGCTCGAAGTAGTGTTTGTCAGTTTTTGCCACAGTAAAGTTGCTCTTTTTTTCACCCTTGCCATACTGTACTCTTTGGAACGAAGTCACTATGCATAGCCCACAAATAAGGACAAAGTCTTCTATTTCAGACCTTCTGTCTTTCCATATGGTCTTTAGAATCCACGTGTTAGCTTGGATTCTAAAATAGCTTGCTGGGATGTTGATTGGGATTGCATTGTATCTACAGGTCAAGTTGGAAAGAACCGACATCCTAACAATATTTAGTCTTCCAGTCTATGAATCAGACTCTCTCTCCATTTATTTAAATCTTAGATTTTCTTCATTTGTGTTTTGTAATTCATGTTTATAAGTTCTAGACATATTTTGTTATATTTATACCTATGCATGTAATTTCGGGGGTATTACAGATGGATTTTTAAAAATTTTGAATTCCAGTTGTTCGTTCTGATATATTTATAAAAAACAATTTTTTTTTTTTTTTTTTTTTTTTGTTTGTGTTTTTCTT